CGCGGAGTTTACTTTGGGGTTTGCCCCGGGAGTTATCTAATAAGATCTAGGAAGCTCTTTGCCAGCCAAGAAAGATCTTACAATAACTAAGGCACCCTGTGGTTGGAACAATGGCACCTCGTGGCCCGCCCCTCTTACCGTCACAAATGTAAGCCCCTCATATACTTCTGTTCGTCCTCCTACCTGTTACAGCCATAAAACATCACTACTTCTGCATAATAAGCTTATACTACAGAAATATATATACATGTGTGTGTATGTGATGAAAATACCTGGTTCCCGGAGTACCAAGGGTACCAGCGAGTTTTAACCGGAAGATTGAGTTTGCTGAGGGAAAACCGAGTCGCTGTCACTGGCATAACCGAGTCTGTATCACCGCTGCATTATCATAAGATCGAAAAATGTGTGACCAGTAGACTTGTAATTACTGTTGTGATCTTTCAAGTTTGTTAGTATACTGAAATATAGTGTACCTGAAGACCCAGATCCTCAAACCAGTAGCAATGAGCTCCTTATATATCGGCAACATTGAATTGTCGGAATCTCTCCAGTTCCAGTTCTGAAATACAAATTCACTGCAGCAACAGGGAATAACATAAAGCCGTTACTTCAGGTACATTCAAATGTAGGGGCCCTACGATAGGGCAGGCTTTCGGTTTTCTTTTGGGTTCAGTTCAAACAAAGGGCAGGCAGTAATTACACTGAGGATACCTGCAAGCGGTCCATTTATAAGGAATGGCGGTATGGTTCGCGTGCATAGCTCGTTGTACATCAGGATGGTTATAGTATATCTCAGCGTAGCTCACGGTACAAGGGTCATACTCTGCTAAAATCCGTCTAGGTAGGAACAATGCATGTGTTTGCTTCATCTGCACAAACTTAGCCTGGTCAGTTGGTTGTGGTGGTATACACATTGGCGTGTAGATACTGTACTGATCGATGTTGCCAAAGTCAGCCGCAGCATCGTTAATGGCGGAACCGCACTCTCTGGAGAATTTCTCGGCCGTAAAATTGCAGTTTTTAAGGATGGAATTGTAGGAAGTGTCGGAGATCATGGCGTGTGACCACCAATACATGATAGTTCCTAGTCTGTCCTGGGTTTTGTCCATATCAGGGTTTCCAACCTTCAAAGCAGAGATTAATTAGAGACATAAACTCCTTACGATTATTAAGTAATAATTTTTTGGAAATGTGATAAGTAGACCTTAGCTTTTATTTACCATGAATCCTTTGAGATTGATGATTGGTTTGTTGCGAGCTTTGTTGTACTCATGGATCTTTCTGGCAAGCTGAGGAACATAATGTCCTGTAAAAGTATAAATTGAATTGAAAAGATTTGGTTAACCAAATAAAATCGGAATAGGTCCAAGAGTATATGGTGACATACCGGCATAGCTTTCGCCAGCAATGTAGAAATCTCTATATTGGTACTGAGGAAATCTTGACATCCATTTGATAAGAAATATCAGATTTTCTTGAGCTGCAACACACAGTGAATCAGTTTATTTCTCTCTCAAACAAAACAAAACTTATTATGCTCTGAATTATATATATGTCATTAACCAATTCTATACTGTGTTGGTTTATGCCTAGACTAATTTTGAGATTTTTAGTCGTCATATGAATTTTGTAGTAGCCAAATATGTATATATCCATTGATTAAAACTGGTTTCTAACATAGAACATGTGGTTACTAAAATCTTTGTTACTCTGAATGGTTAATAAAATCTTTACCTGTACGTTCGTCTCCGGTCTCATTGAAATCGGAGCTAGTGTTGGTGTATGAAAATCCAACTCCAGCGGGCGAGTCAAGAAACAAAAGGTTTGCCTCTGTTCTTGCACGTTTATATTTGTTATATACAATATAGAGACAAAATATGTATATCTACAAATTGTAAAAAATAATTTTGATAGTGGGAGTTGTAAAACGAAGTTACTCTACAAACAAAAGAAACAACAAAAATAGAAAGAGATCAAGATTAAATTACCTGTGTTCCAAGAAAAGTTGTTGAGATAAAGATTGGAACCGGTTTTATTGATCCGAAACGGTCCAATTTCCTCCGAAGCTCCATAAGCAATCGATGAGCAGCCTGGTCCTGCAGTTTCAGGTCCAAACCATTATCAATTTAATGATCATATACACAAATATGCCTATAACTTCCCCCCCCCCCCCAAAAAATCCTTTTATATTGTCGCTTTCGTCCTTAAACAATACTACATAAATAATAAATTTAAGGGCAGTGTAAAATTTATTTTATGTAAATAACGTGTTAAAAACATGTATACAAAAATGTGTATGTTATTTTAAAAGAGACATACGATAAAAGACCTATGTTAGTGAAAAATGTGGGCATTTGCAAATAAGATAACTATTTATCGTTCATTTGCAAATGTAGAATTTGCTCGTTTAGTGTATATTCCTTAAATTATATTAGAAAACCAAACATTATTCTAATATGTAATTCAAAGAGAGACGAAAAATAACTAATACTCATAATTTACAATGTTAAAAAACTTGCGGTGAGCCTTTTTGTGCATGTTTCTGTCATGCTTTCTTACCAAATGTCAAACAAAAGAGACAAATAATTGAAAAGTTGATGTTTTTTTTTTTTTTTGAAAATAAAGAAAAGTTGAAAAGCTGATGTTTAAAAGTGATCAGAGAGGAAGAGATGTTTGGCCAATCATATTTTTGCGTTCTTTCTTTTGTGGTCCTGAGCCATGTTTATATGTAATCAGCATCTTCGATCGAACCCTACTTTTAACC